AGTAGATAGGCTTCAGTAGATGGGCTTTACTAGATTGGTTTCAGTAGATAGGCTTTACTACATAGGCTTCAGTAGATAGGCTTTACTACATAGGCTTCAGTAGATGGGCTTTAAAAGATGGGCTTCAGTAGAGGAAACTTTCGTAGAGGTACTTCAGTAGTTGAGCTCCAGTAGAGGGACTTTAGTAGATAGATTTTAGTAGATGAGCTTCAGTAGATGAGTGAGATAAATCAACAAAGCTTTCACATGAACACTCCTCTTGCCAACTTGTGTATCTATTTGTGTGCACTTGGTCCTGTGACAATACTGTGCAATGTAATGCACCAATCAGGGCACTCATCTATTGTCACGTGACAGTTCCATGACATCCTGTCAAGGCTCCATGAGATTAGTTTTGCTCATCAACAAATCAGGTACTTTCCTTCTAAATTAAGTTGGTATTTTTGCAGGTCCTTGTAAGTTGTATAGACAATGCACCACTGAGTATGCTTGTTGTTCTTGCTGTGTTACGAGCAGCTATGCAGCTGAATTTTTTTTTCTTCAAACACCCGTGGCTAGTTATATACATCTTTAACATGAGAATTTCTGCATTTATGTTTTTTTTTGCTTTGAGTGGTTATAGCTAGTCTTAAATTTCACATGTTCACCTGTATTTAATATGGCATTCTTATGAAAACCGCATGTGGTGTTTCTATACATACGATTTTGTCAGGAAGCACATTCTTTGTTAATCCCTTGATTTTTGTGTTTTTTCTTGCAATATCATTGGCTACAGTGATGGTTTGGATTTTTTCTAGCCATTGATTCCAGTGTTCTGGCCTCTTTCAGACCAGATTGTAGCGAAGACAGCAGGTGAGTTGGACATGACAAGAAGAGATTGTGATCTACTCATGGTAAGCAGTATGGTTTTAGTTGCCTAGCATGTCATACACCTTTTCATACCAACTTTCACCCCAAAAAATCTGTTTTTGTGACAGATAGGTTTGAGTGATCAAGCTTGTGTACCAAAATCTATTTTATTTATTACGTCAAGATTTTTCACGCATTTAACATGTTTAATGTGAATAATCGAATATCATTGAGTATAATATATTTGACTAATGTTGCAAGATCTAGTTTTCCCGGCCGTGTTCCAAACTGACCATGCAGTAGTGTATTAATGTTGAAGAACTAACATAACGAAATGCAACATAAAACAATGCAACACAACTCAACACAGGATAACACAACACAATACAACACAACACAACACAATACAACACAACACAACCCAATTAAAAAGACGAGGCATAGATTTAGCACTGTGCTAATGATGTGACAATCACCTTTTCTTCTTTGAGGGAGCTCTGTCGCAATGCAGTGCAGCACAACACAACACAACACAACACAACACAACACAACACAACACAATACACAACACAACACAACACAACACCACGCAACACAACAGCATAGCATAGCACAACAATGCAATGCAGTACAATGCAACACGACACGCAATTAAACGTCACAATGTAATACAATCCTGTGTGCTAACGATGATGTGACGGCCACATTGTCTTTGCTGCAGACGGAACTGGAAACTTTAAGGAGCAGCGTTGCGCAGACGCAGTACAGCATGTATGACCCACTGCAGGGCATCAATAAGTGCAAGGGCACCTTTGTCGGCCATATGGGCCCTGTCTGGTGCCTCTGCACACATGGTGACTACCTCTTTAGTGGATCATCTGATAACACGATCAAGGTTAGAGCTTGTTGCGGGGTGGGGGCGACCTCGTGTCTAGATGGTGCTCCCAAGTAATGAGTTGACACTCGTTCTTACCTGTAGATGGCGCTACCGAGTAATGAGTTGACACTCATTCTCTCCTATAGGTGGCGCTACCGAGTAAGGAGTTGCTGCTTATTCTCTCCTGTAGATAGCCCTTACCTGTTCCGGTTTTATTCGATAAGATTAATTGCCTGTACATGCCAGGCAAAGAACAATCACTGCTAGTTGAGGGTAGATGATTAGTAACAAGTGTTTCGAAGGACAATAGATTGTTGAGGAAATTGCATGTCTAAATCCGCTCCACACGCTACCCCTTACGTTTATTATGTGCAGACGTTGTAGAGTTGCTTATGCAACCTTTAGTGTATGTTTTTGCCTCTGTGCTGTCACAGGTGTGGGACACAAGTACTACATACAAATGCATCAAGACACTGGAGCGACACACTGGCATCGTGTTGGCACTCTGCGTTTATGGTAACAGACTGTTCAGTGGATCAGCTGATAACATGATTAACGTAAGAATCCATGATCACATATTGCCTGCCAAGCACTAATGTATATA